TGTTTTTAGTGTGTGTTTGAGGTGTAGCTATATATAGACATTGTGCTTTGTATTTTTGGACACAACCCTCATTTCCCAACTTTTAAGTTGGGAAATCCTCTCCATTTTCTCTCTTCTCTCTCTTTTCTTTTTTTTTTTATGCTTTGATTGGAGGTTCATAACTCATTTTTTCGGCGAAATTCCGGCAAGCTTATTTTCATCCAATTTTCGAGCTTTATTCATTATTTTCGTCTGGGCACGCGATAGGAGAGTAAGTACCTTACTTAGAACTTACTACTTCGAGTTTGTTCTTTCGATTTTGTGTTTATGCTCGTTTCTAGGGTTTTTCTTTATTTTTATTGCTTGCTTTTGTGTGTTAGGAATCAATACGTGCTTATCTAGTATAAAGGTCTCGACTTTGTTCAAAGCGTGATGATTTAGTGTAGAAAGCTCGTGTTCGGTTACCTAGGATCACTATGCTCGCATGTTTTCTCTTGTTTTCTTTTATTTTCTTGAGTTATGGATACTCAGTGCAACCAATGCTTTGACCTTTCTTTTGATTCTTGCATTTTCCATCATTTGCTTTTAGATTAGCAGTTTAATTTCGTGCAATCATCCTCAATCAAGCGAGTAGAATGTTTAGGACCTTGTTTTTGGTTATGTGACTTTGACGACTAGGTAGTGAACGAAGCTCCGAACAGCCTTCCTTTGTGAACGACCCGAGTCGGGTAGCTCGGTTACCACATGCCCAAAAATACTACAAACAATAATTTTATCCATGTCATCCAAGACTTGAGTTTATTTACATGTCATATAGACAAAATTAGACCAAATGCATTGCAGATGCAAGGAAGTTGTAAAAAAATATTAATAAATTCCATTATTTATATTTTTAGACAAAAGTTAAATAACCAAATAATATTCAAGAAAAATAATTTTGAATTAGCTAAGAACAATACAAATACTACAGCACAGTACAAGAATATGATGAACTTCCAATGAAAAATTCCAACGGAAATATATTCTAATAGAATTCCAATGGATATTTCAATGCTGTTATTTCCATTGGAATTTTGCAATAGATTCCAATAGAAATTCCAACAAAAATATTCCATTGAAATGAGTTTATCTTATTGGAATTTACGTTGGATTTTGACGATTCTCACGTAATATTGTATATTCAAACAGAAATTTCTACGTTAAAAAGCCGTTGGAATAATAACCGTTGGAATGATCAAATTTCATCTAAATTCCAATGGAAAACTCATTCCTAACGGAATATTTCTGTTGGAATTTTTGTTGGAATCATTCCAACGGAAGCTATACCATTGGAATATCTGTTGGAATTTACATTGGAATATATTACCGTAGGATTTTCCGTTGGAATACGACATTTTTTTCTATAGTGGTAACTAAAGAAATTTTAAATTTTTATTTTTCTTATTTCTTTTAATACAAATATATTATATATTTTTATTTTTATTTTTTTGTACTTTGTAAAATTATATTTACACATCTCATTATTCTTTGCCATTAAAATATACATTTTAACATCTTATAAGCTTTTACATTTTTTGTCGAATTCAATATTGTTGGACTTCAACCACTAAAGCCACAGGTGGAATGAAAATTACCACAAGTTGAAAAGAAATTTTGCTGGGATTCACAAAGAAGAGACCTTTCTTTATTTTTTTCTGAAGAAAATTGTTTTTCTCGTTTTGATTTGTTTTTCTTACATACTGTTATTGGACTCGTCTCCTTGATGGTCCTGCTCATATAATGTCCATATAATTTCAGCCCAATTAAAATTTGTTCCTTCAATTTACTATAGAAACATTTCTATGCATTATAATTTTATTCCATTGTTGAAAAACATGTTGGATGAAATTTAACTTCATTGTGATCGATTAACTTATTGTTGTACTCGCTTTTTGAGGCGGTCATACTTAATTTCAACATAATCAAAGTTCGATTACCTACTCAGTTTTTTCATCAAAAGTGAAAATATGTTGTTCTCTTTTGAATTGATTCCAACGTTGATATCGAGTGACCTATTGTTCGATTTATCACATGTTCATAAAATTTCAATTAGAGTTTATCTGTTTTTTATCCATAATTGTCAAATGTAATCCTAACATGTCAATAGTTAATCTCACGAAGGTGATTGTTGTACTTTTTTAAAAATAAATTTGATAAATTCTTATGAGTTTGATGATGTCAAAATAAATTTGTCCGATTTAGTGTAATTTTTTGTGAAGTTTAGCCGAAAGAATAAAAGAGAAACGAGAAAATATCGATTTTCTCTTTGTATTATATTATATCCAATAGTAACCTAGTTAGAGTAACGACTTTAAGAAACGCGCTAGTTGCAAGAAAATGGCGCACAGAGGAGAAGCGTAAAGCAAAGGCACTACTGTGACTCACCCCACACTTTGTGGCCACGTCCACTCCAATTTTCCCTTTTCATCACGCGCCGGAGGTAAAATACCAAGGAGGAGAAAGGGGGAAAATCGTACGGATTCCGATCTCAATCTCCCTGAAACCTAGATGCACTCAATTACCAATCTCTTTCAACCCTGTTTATCAGTGAGTAGCTGCTGGATTAAGTCATTCAGTGTCGTTTTAGTGATATATTGGATCGATTGATCAATCGGTTGAGTTTGAAGGATAAAAAGTGATCGGTGCCCAAAGCGTGGGAGATGCAGAGGCAGAGTCCGCCGAAGCACAGGCACGATGGGACCTCGCCGTTGCCTTTGGGCATGGATTGGAGCCCTCCGCCCCGTAGTTGGGTACGCCTTATTTCCCTGAAAAATTGATTATCTCTTAGTTTTTATATTGAGATTAGTTCTCAGTTTATCGCCAGTTAACAAATGACCACTTAATAAGATGTGAATGATATGGATTCCATTTGGATGCTAGGTAGCTTGTATGTGTGGTTTAAGTATAGTTAGCTTGTGATCAGCTATAGTTGCACAAACGTTTTAGCTTTGTGCTAAGAGAGCTTATTTTTTCAACCTCGTTATGTACATGGAAAGATCAAGTGATGATTTTTTTTTTTTTTTTTTTNTCCTGGATTCTTGTTAGCATTGCATTTTCTAAGGTGGTTATGCAGATTTTCTTGATTCAAAACTGTTGCATATGAATTGCAGTTTAGATTGTATTGTAAGATGGGGATCCCGTGATGAATTAATGGAAGTTCTGTAATCCAGTGGGAGCAGTAAAGTAGAATTTGAGGGATAAAAGCTATTGCTTTACAACAAGTAAAAGGGAAAATGTGTGTGTTGATCGTTCTGTTCAGTCAAAAGATTACTTAGATTCAGGTAGCATCCTCACTGAAGTTGCTGTGTAAATTGCTGATCCACGAAATGTTAGACTGAGTATTATTGGACTTGGTGCAACGATCAGATTCTCAAAAGCAACTTTCATAGTGGTTCAGTGGTCTGACATACAATATGTATTTTGCAGGCTGGACGAGAAACCATTTGGCCTCACGATCCTCGCTCAGGGTGGAGTTACTGTGTTACAGTGCCTTCATGGATTGTACTTGCAAAGTCAAGAGATTCTGACCCGACAGTGGTACTTCATCTTATTTTTTCTTTAGTGTGTTCACTGCATGCTGTAATTCATCATTCATACTTGATTGTAACTATATGTTCCTAACTCATGAAATTCCTTTTTTTCTTTATCCATGATACAAAATATTGTGTCAGTCAAACTGATCACTTTGTTCGGGAAAAAAAACTGATCACTTTGACATTCTCCAAGTGTCAAATTAGCCTGGCAATTAGCTTGGACAAATTTAGTTCGTGCATTATGGGGGGATACTTGAATCTTGAAAAAATTACATCTCTCGCCATGTGTGTTTGTGCGTGCCCATGTTTGTGTGTGAAAATGGTTGTTATATCTTCCTCCATTATGATTGCGAGCTATGACCTGAGTATCTCTATCTAATTTATGTTTGTATTAGTCTATTAGACCTTGTCTTCCATATAGGATATAGCTCAACTGATGTTTGAAAATGGCAGTTTTACAGGGTACAAGTTGGCTTGCAGTCACCAGAAGGGATTACGACCATAAGAACTGTGTTAAGAAGATTTAATGATTTCTTGAAGTTGCATGCTGCTGTAAGTTGGATAATCTTATTTGGGATTTGAGCACCGTAATCATAATTTTGCTTCTTGGTGATGTTGCATGTTTATCTGCTCATAGAAGCTGTAACCATTGATGCCGATATTTCTGTCAACTCTCTATTGCAGCTTAAACGATCCTGTCCTGGGAAAAATATCCCACCAACTCCACCCAAGGGATTGCTGCGAATGAAAACTAGGGCGATGCTGGAAACGGTAAATATTGTTTTGAGCTTTACATGAAATCATTGTGGATTAAGAAGTTGATCTTTTTTTTNTTGCCTCTCTTGGAATAGGTTCTATCTTGATGTACCCTAAGGAAATACCTTAGAAACTTTGTTATATCTTAATTCTTGTTTATTCATTCGTGTTTCTACTTAATACTTATAACTGTTAGGATTGTAAGAGGTTTTGTTTGTTGCAGAGAAGGGGTTCTTTAGAAGAATGGATGACAACGTTACTATCAGACATCGATTTGTCAAGAAGCCTTGTTGTTGCATCCTTTTTGGAACTGGAAGCTGCTGCTCGTTCAGGTATGTAATCAGTACTTATCTGATAATATACTTATTGACTATAAATAAAAGTCCAAAAGTCGCTTCATCTCAGTTAAGTTATGTCATATTAGTGCTATACCATTTTCTGATTACCTTACAGCGGTTATATTTACAATTTGTTAAATTTTTTTTTCAGCATTCCAGGAAGACAGTCAACCCAGTTCGGTTGCACACACGCCTCCAAGCGCAACGGACCCAGCACTTCGTGTTCTCGAAAACTCAAGCCTTCCCGTGCCAGCTGGCAGTACATCTCTGGCATCGGATTATGGCAGTGATACAGCTTACGAGACATCTGAGATTGGCAGCCCAAGCCTTACTGCCGATCTCGCAAGGGATAACAGCTCTGAACTTGGTTTAGATGACTTATCATTTTACAACGACATAACGAGTCAAGTGGATAAGTTTGTGAAGCAAGGCATGTTAAATATCGACGAGGGCTTGTCCATGGGACATAGCATTATGGAGAAGCTGGAAAATTTCCCGAGGCATAAATTGAACTCGACGGTGGTTCACTATAATGCGGAACGTGATATGAGCAATGGAAGTCCTTCTAAAGCCTCTAGGTCTGAGCCAGACCGTGTACCCCACCATGTCAGGAAGCTGTCGAGCGAGAGTATTGGGAGCGATAGGAGTTCTGATAGGGGAAGTGAGCTATCAAATTCGGCATTTCCGAACTCCAACGGGCTTGGGCTTATTGATTACAGAAGTGGGCCCGAGAACTCGAGAAGAGGTCCTGCCAGTGACTTTGAAATGCTGCTATCTGATGATGTACAGTTGTTGGTCCCAATGGATCAGCGCCAGAAAGTGAATAGAGTATTCATGACATTGCAGCGTAGGCTGACCACGGCCAAGACTGATATGGAGGATCTTATATCGAGGTTGAACCAAGAAATTGCAGTGAAGGACTACCTTTCGACAAAGGTAGTAGCATACTGATGACCTGATCCATTGCAAATGGAGCTGGAAGAGTCATTGTTGACAATTCTCCTGGCATAGTGCTAATAATGGACTAGATCAAAATGGCTCAATTAAATTCTAGTGCTTCTTCTATTAGTGAAGTTTCTACTATTAGTGAAGTTTCTAGAAAAAAAAAAATATATCAAACGGCGCAATGCACCTTGGGTCGCTACGGAAACAACCTCCTTGTATAATTACAAGGGTAAGGTCTGCGTACAACTGATCCCCCAGACCCCAACCTGTTGGGAATATACTGGGTATGTTGTTGTTGTTGTTGTTGTTTACTTTTGATGACCTATCTTACATTAGAAAAGCAAAAACTTGATATGAAGTTAAAGTAGTTTGTAGGCTCACTGGATTCTGATTTCTCAAATTGGGAGCACAAATGCTGTTGAGCTTTGTCTCAGTATATTAGATTCTACTCTCCGAAGTATTAGCGAGTTTGATCTCTTGTGGGACTGAGCTTAAATTGCAATTGCCTGCTCAAAGTTATCTCGTTGGATGGGTAAGGAAGGGGGTTCAAGTAAATGACCGAAATTCCAAAATTTGTTTCGGGTATTTTTTAGTTTCAGTCCTGATCATATGCTTAGAGAAGCAAGTATGGAAGGTTTATTATTTCATATGGATTTGGGAAATTTAAACAATTTAGCTGGTGTATGTTTGTGGTCCCAATCAAATAGAATGTGAACAGGCACACGAGAGTTAAAAAATTGATAATTATTTTTGGGACACAGAGCACTAGGAATCCATAGAAATGAATGGTAATTTGCAGTAAGTGTAGTAAAAGGATATTACAATCAGATTTTTCACTGCACCCCTCTATTTATGCTCATATATTTATAGGATATAAAATCCATGATTTTTTTCTATACTCACCCAGGTGAAGGATTTGGAGGTGGAGCTCGAAACTACTAAACAAAAAAGTAAAGAAAATCTTGAACAAGCTATATTAATCGAACAGGAAAGAGTGACCCAGATGCAATGGGATATGGAAGAACTCAAGCAGAGGTCAATGGAACTGGAGCTGAAGTTAAAATCAGAACAGGTTATGTATCTTGTTTGCTGTACCTTGTCCTTGTGCTTTATAGCTTATCTTGGTTTAATAAATTATTATTATTTTGTTATAATACCTTATCCAGGCCCACAGGTTGGACACTCACTCTACCAATTCATATGATCAACCGAAAGATTTGGTGTCCCATGAATTAATTTCCACAAAACAGCAATATGAGGACTTGTTTAAGCGACATCAGGAGCTGGAACTGAAGTCCAAAGCTGATATCAAAGTACTTGTGAAAGAAGTTAAATCTTTAAGAGCTTCGCATGCAGAATTGACTAAACAACTCGATCAGTCGCGCGTAGAAAAATCCAAAGTAGAGGTATTTTTTTTTTGGTTCACTATTTTAAGGCAAATAACTCACAGTAAATTCTGGCTGCAATTTGCAGTCCACTCGTTCCATGTCGCTTAGTCAAGTATTAATGTCTTACCTGCTAGCGTATAAATTTAACATCGGACTGAGAACTATGCTTTTTTTTTTTTCAATTTTTGGAATTGTTGAACTTTTTGTTTGGGATGTGAAGAAATTTATCGATTAGGTCTTATGCATGCATGTGGGAGTGCATGCAGTCCAGTTTGCATTCCCTTTTACATGTGAAATGGGTAAAATATGCTCCACTTTTATACTAGGACTGCAGCTATTTGTGATCTGGGTACGTCATGTCGTTATATAGTGCATGTATAATTATATTTCATGTTGCTTCGACTTGTACACGAGTTAAAATAAATGTTATTCCACATGTATAATATTCCACATTGCCCAACAAATGTACGCAAGTTTAATCAATCGTGATTGACGAACTCTTGTTTCCAAAACTCGTGCAACCCCAGGAACAACTCCAAGAAGAAAGAGCAGAAAACGAGCAAACAAGAACATCTTGGAGAGAGTTTCTGAATAAATTTAAGTCTCTTCACGAGCAGCTTCAGGAGTGTCATATTAATAACCTAAAGCAAACTCAAGGAGATGATGACATACTAAAAACTGTTTCATCTTTCTCCAATCCCATTGATACTATAGGCACATCCAATGACCAGATAAGCCTTCTCATTTCCAAGGTACTGATCATAAATATTCTGATTCATCTGCTTAAGAATATTCTGATTCATAAATATTCTTATTCTTGGTATTAATCTTCTTTTAACAATGATCAGGTTCAGCATTTAGCTCAGGAATGTGATGATTCAGCCTCGACAACTGATACAGTTGACGAGCTGGACAATAAAGCAAGTTCTTTAAAAGAGGAGTTGAGGCAGCTGCTAGCACGCATCTTAGTCGATAATGGCGTGTTAAGAAAACAGGTGAACTCGCTTATTGTTCGGGCTCTTAAAGTGAACCAATCAAATGACAAAGGTGAAAACGAATGTCATTTGGCTGTAGATGTAAAGAGTGAGGTTTAGCACGTAATGTTGTAAATTCAGTTAGGACATGTTTGTTTTGCGCAACATCTTATACCACCACATATGAGAGTCCATAAAGTGAACATTACATGGGACTTCCACTGCACATCCCATGCATATGTCATGAAAATGATTCATCTGATAATTTGTATTAATTTGTAAGATCTGTGTTATCACAAGCGTTTTGTGTGTTACTGAGTAATTACATGGAATTACTTTTCCCGTTATTGCACGACAGAGGCCTTGGTTTGGATATATTGGCAAACATTAGCCAATATTCTGTAAATTTGCTGTTTTGGCCCTGAAAAATCCTTCTGAAGTAGGGTGAGAAGTTATCTACATCTACATGAGATGAGAGTGTTTAACTTATTATTACCGATATTTTGTAATATTTTGTGACAATGTCATTTATGTCGTTTTCTTACTATTTTCTCTCAACATAGTAGATATTAGCTTATCTAATAAAGGAGATGATAACTTAACCAATAATTGACGATAATTAACCAAATTATTGATAAATCATAAGAAGACCAGTGAAGGGGACATAAATAAAATAAATAAATGAAGGAAAATAAGAAATCCAAAAATAACATTTCCCTCCATTATAATCCACTAATCCAGTGTGCTGTGACGTGTACATCATTATCAAGAAGATGGGCACAAAGATGACGTGTCAACCATTCTCACTTCAAAGCTCTGTCGTTAGATTCTTGTGTGGCAACCCGCAGCTACACGTGTTGTAACCAAGTGATTTTTAGTCCGCCGCATATCTTAATTTATATAATTAATTATCAATTTACATAAACTGTTGTAAACATTTATTTATGACCTTATCTATATATAAGTTTTGTAAATTTTGGTCAGAAGCTCATTAGGTCTTTTGTCAAGAGTACACTACAATCTAGGCGAACTGTGACATCTATATAAATACTCTACATTCTAGTTGGATCGGCGACATCTGACAACGAGTGACCACAGTAACAATCAAAAATTAATATATTGCGTTATAAAATAATCGTGTCTTTTCTATTAAGGTAACATTCAAAATTTATTTAATATCTATGATATATTAATTTTATCAATTTTAGTTATATTCAGATATCTACAAACGTATGAATTGATAATTTTTTTATGAGTTCGATTTGTTGTGTTGTGTTGTCAAGTATTTGTGACGTAAATTAAAAAATTTATTATAAAATGATACTTATTAGCTTTATCCTGAATTTTGGAAATGTGATTCAGCTTTGAGTGTGGATGTCTCAGTAAAATTTTGGACTTAGATTATTTTTTTTTTTCTTTAGGAGGATAAGTAGTGTTCCCACTTACCCTCCTCAGTGACTCGAACCCGTGGCCTATCAGTGTTAGCACCCAGACATAAGTTGGGGAGCGTCTGCTGGCCAAAGTACAATACAAGGGGGTTGGACGCAATTTTTAAATTACAGGGGGATAACGCATAGATTTAGTATAATACGGGAGGATTTGGTGCAATTAACCTCTTATTATGTACTTGTAACATTTTTTTTCTACTTTTCACATTATAAAAAAAGACAAATGCTATAGGTACATAAAATTGTACATAGAGGTGTACATAACACTCACATTGAGTGAGACCTACAAAAAATAAACAAGTAGACTCCACTCCATGTAAGTGTTATGTACACCTATATGTAAATTTATTATGTACTTATAGTATTTTTCATAAAAAAATATCATTAATTTTGTAAAGCGTGTTATTAATTTATTTTTCAATATATCTTATCATGAGATGGATGACATTTTATCTAATATCATGTTAAACATGATAATTTATCAAGTCACTTTATATTTAATTTAATTTTTAGTTATTCTTATATTTATAAATTATTTTAATTGATCACCTATACAAATAAATTATATCAATTGATGCATTGGATAATGGATATACTATTTTAATTTAATTTTTGGATGTGTCAAACATTGACTTTCAAAGCCATAGAGATGCTCTAACGTGCGCCTGGTTTCCCCTCCATTTCTAATTCTTTTCCTCATCTTCAAGCTTCTCTGTAAATGCGTGTGCATACACCTTTTCGAGCTGCATATTTTGCATAGATCATAAGAGTTTCATCTTCATTCTCACCCGATGGTTTGTCCCGAGTTCACGAATTCGAAAGTACGGTTAACTTCAGATGTCGTCGGCAAATGAAGCATGGCGCTTTCCGCTTCTTTTTACCTCGCGCCTCTTCACAACCTCTCTCAGGTCTCTCTTCCTCTTTCTCTCTCTCTCTCTGTTTGTGTGTCTGTGTGTGTAACACAGATGTGTATTTGGATTTTCTTTTCCTTTTGTTACTCTTTCTGCAACAAATTTATGTTATCTGCTCTTGCCCCCAATTTCTTAACTGTGAAGAATTTGTATGCGAGACTTGATTGTTGAGAACCACATATGAATTTAACTCTTCGAAATTTATAAGGTGAAAGGAAATATGTTTTGAAGATGATTAATTGAAGAATGAAGATTGATTTAAAAAAAAAAAAATCTGTTAAAGAAAATGATTTTTCTGATATATTGTGTTTTACTATTGTTGTGAATACAATTTGCGATATCTTCTGCAGTTACGCAGTTCCAATCATAGACCTAACCACAAGAGATTAGAGCTTCTAAATCCCCTCAGAAAAAAGTATGAGCCCTCGTATTCTGTCAGATCAGTTCTAGACAGCAGGACACCCTCGAGCATAAACGACAATGGGGCCACCGAGCCTGCAAGGATTCTCCTCGAGAAACTATTCGCCCAGACACAAAAGCTTGAGGAGCAAATAGGGCTGGATCCGAACTCACCCCAAGCAGCCGAGCTTGGCTTGAACTTGGTCAAGCTGGAGTCAGATCTTCAGGTGGCCCTCTCAGCATTGAAAAGGAAGGACGAAAACCTTCAGGAAGCCGAGAGGAAAGTCTTGTATGAGATCGATGAGCTGAATATTGCCAGGCGAGATTTAGAGAGACGAGAGGAGGAAATTGCTACTGCCAGGCAGAAACAGGGAAAGCTAGAAGACGAGCTTAGGCTAGCGAATTTGGAGTTAGCTTCTCAAGCTGCAGAAATTGGGAATCTTAAGATTAGCTTGAAGGAGAGAGAGAAGGAAATTTTGGATCTGCAATCAGTACTGTTGTGCAAAGAAGGGGAAATCGTGAAGATGGAGCATGAATTGATGAGCATGAGCGAAAGAGCTGCGGTTTTTGAATTAGAGCTCGTGTCCAAGTCGAGACTCGTGGAGGAAACCAATAAAATTGTTGAGAAGCAAAAAATTGAGCTCGGGAGGCTCCAGAGCGAAATCCGGAAGAAGGAGAGTGAATTAGAAGTTTCGATTGGATTACAGAAAAGCGAATCCGAGAAGTTGAAAGCTGCAGAGGCTAAGTTAAAGAAGCAAGCCACTGATTGGCTGGTGACTCAGGAAGAACTGAGAAAGCTGACCAACGAGACTTCTAAGCAGGGCATTGACGCGAATGAGGCTGTGGAAGAGTTTGGAAGAGTGAGAAAGCTTCTTGTGGACGTGAGGTCCGAGTTGATTTCGTCCAGGGAAGCTCTAGCTTTGTCAAGGGAAAAAATGGAAAGTCAAGATAAGCTGTTGGAAAAGCAGCTTTCGGAACTTGAAGAGCAAAGGATGACCGTCATGTCTTACCTGTCGAGCTTAAGAGATGCCGAAGTTGAAGTGGAGAGTGAAAGAGTGAAACTAAAGATTGCTGAAGCTCGAAACAAGGAGCTCAAGCGGGATTTAACATTGGAAAAGGAGCTTGCTGAGGAGTTAAAGGAGGAGTTGGATAGAGAGAGATGCTCTTTAGAACGAGCAGTTCAAGAGAAGTCTGCTCTTCAGGAGGAAATCGAACGTAAAGTAGCTGCATTCGAAGAATTACAGAGGCTTCTTGAGGCTAAAGAGTCGGAATTAATCGAGGCAAGGCTTGAAATCCAGCATTTGAAGTCCGAACAGTGCTCCCTTCAGCTCGTACTCGAAGCAAAAAACATGGAACTCTCAGATGCGAAGAAAAGGTTAGAGGAAGTGAATAAGGAGATCTCGGAACTAAAGCGGGTCTTGCTAGACAAAGAAGACGATCTTATTCGAGCAATGTCCATGCTGAAGGAGAAAGACAAGCATGTCCAGACAGTGCAGACCGAGCTAATGGATGCCAATTTTAAATTTTCGGAAGCCAAATTGGTGGTGGAGAAGATTGTGAATCTCACCAATGAAATTGTTCATGACGAAGCATATACTGTGCTAAGCCCACTCGAACAAGAATATGACGAGTTCTCTACCGGTGGTTTCAAATGGCAGATAAAACGGCTCAAAGCTGAACTCGAATTTACCCGGGAAAGTCTCAGAGCTAAGGAAATGGAAATTGTTACGGCACAGAAGGATCTCGTCATGAAAGACGAGGAGCTGAGAATGGTCCTATCAGAATTGAATTCAAGAGAGAAGGAAATTACTGAGATGAAGGAAGAAATTATGCGTGAAAATGAAGATTTGAGAAAACTGTACGCATTGGCACAGGAGACGATCGGCGAAAAGAGCGTGGGTGAACTTGCTATTGAGAAGCTTCAATTAGAAGCAGCTCGGCTGGAAGTTGAAGCCGCTACAAATGCACTGTGCAAAATTACTGAAATGAGTCGGGAGCTTCTGGGTAAAGCTGGTTCGAGTGTTGAGGATGACTGTGATGAAGACCTAGCTGAGGAGGGTGGGTCCAGCAATGAGTGTCCTGAGGAAGTTAAGTCGGAAGTTTCACGGCTTTTTGCTTTAACTCAACATCTTGTGAAAGAAGCAGGTATTGCGGGCAACATCAGCACGCAATAGAGGTTTGTTTTAGTTTTCTTGACTTAGAGGTTTAGACATCTGACTTGGTTTTTATTTTATACAGTGGATATACGAGGTTTGATAGATGTATTCCTTGTACGATGATTTTTCTTTATGTACACCGTTGTTGCAAGGGTTAAAATTTGGATGCTTTGATGATTATTTGGTTTTTTATATTTCTGATCATGTGTAGGATGTAAAGAATCTAAGCAAAAGTCTTTGCTGCTTTTGAATGTAATCGATCTTTGTCTATTCATGTGTTTGCATTTTGCAAGTTGTTATTTTGGTTTTTGCTGCCATCTCGTGCCATGATAGATCTCATTTAGAATATATCTATTGCTGATGTTTTAACATAATTACAAACATCTTTAAAACTCCCATTAACATTCATTCAACTGAACATCCTTAAAGTAAACGACACCAACCATCTATTTACACAAACAAAACAAGTCCCCAGTCCACACATATGTTTCAGTCACCTACGAATCAACCTATTAAAACGAAAAGTCCCAAACTTCCCAAACCCAAATAAGTTCCATAAAATCAACCTCTTGCCAGCAGTAAAATAAGACATTAAATATTTAGTTATTAAAGAAAAAGCATCAATCACCTGAAGATCTTAACCACCTTGGTATGCCGCCACGCACCACCCTTCCCACCTCCCTCAGCCTCCGCACTCTTATCCTCATTCCCCTTCTTCGCCCTCGACCTCCCGGGCCCAACTCTCCTCCCAACAAAAAAGCCCAACTTCATCGCAGTAAACAGGCCCAAGGCCATCAGCAGTGGCCTCACGGCCCAATGAAAATCCTCCAAATGCTCATACTTCCTCACCACCCCCTGACAAGTCTCGAAAGACACGAGCTCCACCTCAGCAGGGTCGGCTAAAAAGCTCCCTCGCCCCACCATCAGCCTCCCCGGAAAATTCACGACCAGGCACCCGTTAGGCAGAACCTGACATATTCTCCCAGCCACATATTCTCCACCTCTTTTCCTCGGCCACTCGAATCGAGGGCTGAACACACTTGCCTTGAGTCTCACAAACTCTCCCGCCCAATAAGGCTTCGCCATCTGGAACTCCGAGTAGTCACCTCTCCACAGCGTATCAAGGCCTATGAACGCGGCCGTCACACTCCCGTCCCTATTCACGGCGTGGAGGATCCCGACTGGCGAGTGGCGTTTGTCTTCCCTTTTCAGGCGAATCCAGTCGCCAGCTGTCAGGCCAAACGTGACGCGCTCGAGTGTGGACACGTGGGTCCGAATTGGGTCGTGGATCCCATGGACTCTGACGAGGATGAACCCGTTTTGGTCCGTGTCGCGTTCGAGGCCCACTACAATGCCCTCGGGGACTTCCATGTTTTTTGGGTTTCGGGAATTTGGGGATTTTCGGGACCGGACCATGTCGCCAACTTGGAGGTGGTCTTTTGCGAGGAACCACTCTGTGTAGCCGATGCCGCCTGGTTTTTCACGGACCATTCGGCTTGCGACACCTGTCCAGCCGCCGCCTTCCTGGCTAACCACGTTCTGCGAACTGTGGGTAAAGTGAAAAGCAAAGTATTTGAATAAATCAAATTAAAAAATAATAATAATAATGATAAGAGTATCTACAATGCATTGGGTCTAGTTTTGCCTATGTAAATAAACCCAAGTCTTGGATGACGTGGATAAAACTATGTAAAATTAACAAATTTCACTCCAATGCAAGCAAATAAACTGCCGCAATAAACCCAAGTCTTGGATGACGTGGATAAAACTATATAAAATTAACAAATTTCACTCCAATGCAAAGAGACAACTAGGTCTCTACTTGGGTCTAAAATAGACTTGAGAGTAGACAAAGTCTTTTTTTCTTGCTGCCACATCAGCAAGACCCAATCTTTAGACTTGGTCGGTGGCATATAATTTTTTTTTTTATTGAACCCAAAGCATTGCGGATGCTCTAAGGATATCATGACGTAGGAAGTAAAATAATTTCAATTTAAATTTTCTCATTTACCCATAGCTAATTTATCTTTTCCAAGTCATTAGTGAATACATTTTTTGAATTATGATTTAAGGAGAAAGGAAACAACAATACCTCTTAAAAGCAAGCAAAATATCTGCCATGACAGGGCGACTCCTGAAATCATACTCAAAACAGCCATTAATGACATTCTCAACAGCAGGAGGAAGTCCGGTGGGAATTTGAGGTCTTTCTTGTTTTGTAACGACCAATTTATAAATTTCCTCAATTGATTTACCAGTCCAGGGTTGTTTTCCGGTCAACATTTCTAGAATACTGCAACCGAATCCCCATGAATCGGTCTCGACTGATATTGGCCCTCTTACATCTGGCTGCCACTGCTCGGGAGCCATATAATTGGGAGTACCAAGCCGTCGAGCTATGTCTGGACTGGGCAATGAAATACCCAGCAGCACATAAGGGATACCAATATCGCCAACAATAGCCTGGCCATTGCTATTCAAAAGGAAATTAAAAGGTTTAAGGTTGAGAACAAGGATTTCTTTAGCATGCAGGTCCATTATTCCCTGAGCCAGATCAGCCCCATACCTGTACATTA